GCACAAAGCATGGAACATACCTCACATCGTAATTAAGGAGCTGCAATAATACAATTTCAATACAAGTCAGCATGAAGAAGCCATGTTAAACAAGCTTCTCCTTCCAAGGGGCAAATGACTAGCATGAAAACCATAACAATCAATTATTCACAAAGTACGCCATTGCCACTCCCCAAAAAAAAAAAAAAAAAAACCCACAAAACCATATCACTAATAAGTTTAGCCTGCTTACTCTGCAAAAACCCTTCAAAGATGTTCTTTCAATATGGGAAAACATACTTCGTAATTCCCTAGCACTCCAAAACCAAACAGATTATTCCATGGACAAAAGGGAAAGGACCTTGTAAGCTGCATCTCATAATATACAATATTTACTGGATTCAATAAAAAACCATATAGTGTTTTACAAGCATCATTATCAGTCAAGCTCTACATATGAAGACACTAAAATTGAAGACTTTCATGTCTAAAAGGACACAATAAATAAACGGACAATTATCTGACAAGAGGCCTAAAATCTATTGGCTTGAGCTTTAAATTGAAGTGTAATATACTAGGGCATATGATTGGATCTTCGCTTGAAAGACTCCGGAAACCATCTCATGAGTTTTGCAGCAGAAAAAGTTAGAATCACTAGTTTTCAAGAGGCATGAAGTGAAGATGTTGCAATAATCTTGATGGAAAGCAAGGAAAGGAATTGGGATTCAGTTAAAATGAATACCAACTATAGTGGTGAATTGATGATATTTGTAAGAAGATATGCAATGAAAGATTAAGGCCAAGGACAACTTCATCTTGGGTGACAGAGAATCAAAACATTTAAAACAAACTTCATGCATCTGACAGAGGTTGGAGAACCAAAGCAACAAAATTTTTCATCAATATACTCTACGGAAAATAAGATACCTCAGGTAGCCATTTCTCATTCTCAGCATCAGCCATGACAATATTGAGCCAATCAGAATTCCGTGTCTCTACCTCAGAAACAAATTTAAGCAAAGAATTGCAAAGCCTGCATTTGGGAGAGTAGAACTCAATCACTGTAGCCTCCTTCCCACTGGCTAGAGCAGAGGCAAAAGCTCTCTGCTCTGCCTCCCCTTGCTCAATTGGAGTCATTTTCTGCCTCCCCTTGGTTTTCTCATCCAATTGCAAGGGATTGAGAGAAATCATCGGAGAACTTGGAGATTTTGCAAGTGAATTGGCAAACTTGAAAGCAATTGATCCAAGATTTTGGATTGACTTGAATAGCCAAGGACCATCAAAGTTGCAAGCGTCAGAAGTTTTGTTACTTTGATTGACATCCCATGGCAATTTTAGGCAAACACAGGTTGCTTAGGCATCAAACCCATTGCCCGCCCAGTATCAGGGACAGTTTAAAATGAACAAATGCGAATGAAAATAACGAATTCCTACCATATTACACTCAGCGGGGAACAACTACGCAGATAACAGATGACGCGGGAACAAATTCAACCAGACTCAAAGCCAATCCCACAGGATTTTGGGAGTAGACAAACCCCTAGGGTTCGAAGCGGACAACGTTAGACGGCGTCCAACGGAGTGTAGAATGCTTGTTCGCAGGCATTGGAAAGTCCTTACTCCACTACTAGCTACTATATTGTGTTTTGTCGGGTTATAATTAATTTTAATTTTAAGCGGGGAATTAGGAATAAGTCGAAGTTAATTACTCAAATAACCAGATTAATTAACTCAATTAACGAAAATTCATTTTATAAATTAATTTATGTCATAAAAGCATTTATTTTGAATTTTTATAAAAATAAAAATTTAATAGAAATTTTATAGTTTACATTCATGTTTATTAAATTGTATTAAACCAAATTCATATTGTATTCAATTCGAATTTATATTAACTTAATTAAAAATTAGGTTGCGCAGAAGAATATTATTTGGAGGGATAAGATGGTTAGAGAAGAAACTAGAGGTAGTATTGTCAGGGCAAGGATTAGCTATTGCATCTTCAACACAGAGATGCCGTAGTGTCATGATTGCAGGTTATTTCAGGCTGCTCAATCGCAAGTTTTTTTTTTTTTTTCATTTTTTTAGTTTTTTTTTTGATACAAGAGGGGGCTAACAGCCCAAAATAAAACTAACGCAAAAGGCTTCTGGGTTTAGTGCAACCCAAGACATCTCTATCCAAACAGCATCGGACCCCAACAGGTGGTTCCCATAACATCTGTATTTCATTGGATCGAAGGAAGCTCCATTTGGCTAACCAATCAGCTACTGCATTACCCTCCCTAAAGGCATGACTCGTCCGCAGCTCCCACCCGGATCTTAAAAGATCATTTATTCTTTCCATAAATCTGCTGCTACCTTCTCCTCCTAGTAGCATCTCTTCCAACTTTCGAATAACAATCATGGAATCTGATTCAATGATCACTCTCTTATGGGGTATTTGCTTCAAAAGATCCATCCCAGTAAATAGCGCCCACAACTCAGCATCCTCCACACTGCATCTTCCCAATTTTTGAGCAAATCCTCCAATCCATCTGCCTTCATTGTCTCGAAAAACTCCTTCGCATCCAGCTATCCCGCCATTTTCACATACAGCACCATCAATATTCATTTTGATCCACCCTGTATCAGGTTTATTCCATTTGATCTGCATACACACCTCCTGTACTCCCTTCTCCTTCTTCTCTAACATCTCTCTAATTTCATTTACATACCTGTAAATTGCAGCCACAGGATCGCTTGGTCTCTCAAAATCAGTCTCAAATAAGCTACGGTTCCTCCATTGCCATAGAAACCAAACGGTTACAGCAAACACTATTTTCCAATCCCTCCAGACACCTCTTTTCCTGCTAAGGTTTTGGATAAACCACTCATTCAGTGCCAGGTTGAAAAAAGTTTCCCATCTTCTACCTCCCAAGATCGCCCTCCATATCCACCTTGCTATCACACAGTCTCGGAGAACGTGGAGTGTGTCCTCCTCTTTTTCCCTACATAGAATGCAGATTAGGGAAGTATTTATCATTTTACTCCTCCGAACAGAGGTTAACAAACCCCCATTAGATGCAACCCACATGAATATTTGTATTCTCCTAGGCCCCCTCCATTCCCAGATCCTCTTCCAAACTAAGTTTGATCCTTCTCTATCAAATCCTTTCAGGTGGTTGTACATATCCGAAACTACGTATTTTCCATTAGCATTCCCCAACCATTTAATAGTATCATCAGGCTCATCCATTTTAAGAGGTGGCACAGTTTGTATTTTTTCAATAGTCTCCTCAGTCAAAAAAATTTTCAACAGTACCGTATTCCACTCACCATTTTCTGTAATAAAGTCTGCCACTTTTGCCTTTAGTTCTTCCTCATTCAGAGTTCTTATGCATTTCTCTTTTAAGGTCCCCATTTGTGTAAACCAGTTGTCTTCCTAGAACTTGATTCTCCTTCCATTTCCTACTTCCCAGCCAACATTTTCCACCATGTCCTTCCACAAACTGCCCAATCTCTTCCATATTGCTGAATCCCCCTTCTTCACAACACATTCTCTCCCCAGTTCTACTTTCCTTCCATATTTTGCATTAAGCACCTTCGACACCAACTTCTCAGGTTTTGCCATCATTTCCCAACCAGTCTTGCAAAGTAAAGCATCATTCATTGTTTTAAGGTCTTTGAGCCCATAACCTCCTGTCTCCTTGGGTCTACATAATCTATTCCACCCTAAAGCATGGAATTTTCTTTTTCCCCCTTCTTCTCCCCATATAAATTCTCGCTATAACTTTTCTAATTGTTTGCAGACACCTTTTGGTATGTCTTCATGTAGCATATGATAAACAGGCATTTGTTGAGTAACAGATTGCACCAATGTCAACCTTCCAGCCAAGGATAGACTATTCCTCTTCCATCCACTGAGTTTCTTTTGCACTTTATCGATTAGAAATCAAAGTTTCTTCTTAGGTTTCTTCCCCTAACTACTTGGGCCCCCAAATATCTACCAATCCCTTCTGCTTTGCTGAAACCACATATATTAACAAGTTCATTCTGGTTTTCCTCGCTTACGTTCCTGGAGAAACATACAGTAGTCTTTTGAGGATTTATTTTTTGCCCAGACATCTCAGCAAATTTTTGCAAACATCTTGTCACCACCTCAACTTGATCCCTTTCAGCTTCACAAAAAAGCAACAAATCATCTGCAAACATCAAGTGGGGCACTTCCACCTTTTTCCTCCCTATCTTAATTGGTCTCCACTGTTTTGCTGTTACTGCATCTGCAATTATATGTGACAATTTTTCCATACCCATCACAAAAAGATAAGGTGACAAGGGGTCACCTTGTCTCACTCCTCTTGAAGGCAAAAACGAGGTGGACTTGGCTCCATTCCACAGAATCTGAAAACTAGTAGTATTCACGCACGCTTCAATAACCTCCAAAATCTTCCCATTTATTCCAATCTCGCCAAGAACTCTATATAGGAATTCCCAGCTCATCCTATCATATGCCTTCTCCAAATCAATTTTAATTGCCATGAAACCCTTCTTCCCACTCATTCTACTCATCAAATGATCAATTTCTTTAGCAATAATGATGTTTTCCTGTATACATCTCCCTGGTACAAAACTCGTTTGATAGGGAGAAACTATCTTACTTAAAATCGGTTTCAATCTGTTGACTAGGATTTTAGACAGCACCTTATACATTACTGTGCATAATGAAATTGGTCTCATTTGCGTTACCCTTTCAGGCTTTTCATTTTTTGGTATAAGTACTGTAAGTGTCTCGTTCACCTCTTTAATCTTGCAAGGATTCTCCCACATATTATGAATACTGCGTATAACATTTTTCCCCACTACTTCCCAGTTACTTTGATAGAAAGCAGCAGGAAATCCATCAATTCCAGGAGCTTTAAATGCCCCTATATTAAACATGGCCCTTCTTATCTCCTCCCTCCCTACATTCTTATTCAACCTATTTAAGCATTCCTGAGACACTGTCCCCCATCTTTGTTTTGTATCTACCCACCTTCTTCCTCCTACTTCCTCTGTAACATATTAATGAAATAATTCCGGACCATTTCTATTAGCTCTATCTCGTTGTCAATCCACATCCCATATTCATCTTTTAACATTACAATCCTGTTTCTCCTCCTCCTGTTCAGAGTTTTTAAATGATAATAGTGTGTATTTCTGTCCCCATTTTCCATCCACTCCCCCCAAGATTTTTGGAACCAGAAAATCTCTTCTTGTAGCAGGAGTTCCATCAGTTCTTGCTGAAGCTCTTGGCTTAGTTCATCCAAAAACGGATTTCTGCTTTTACCCAAACTTTGCTGTATACCACCAATTCTTGCCAAAAGCTTATTCTTCCTCTTCCTCAAATCCCCAAACACCTCCTTATTCCAAACTCTCAAGGCTTCTTTCAAGCTTTCCAGTGCCTTAACCATCTCTTCTCCCTTATTCCATTTCTTCTCCATGAAGTTCTTAAAATCCGGATGCTTTAACCACATGGCTTCAAAACGAAACGGCCTCTCTACCCAAACAGTTTGTTGTCCGCTGAAGTTAAATAAAAGGGGATGATGATCCGAGTGAATTCTGGGAAGCACTCGTACAAACGCATTTGAGTAGGCATTCTGCCATTCCACATTGCACAAACCTCTGTCCAGTCTCTTAAACACCCTTTCCCTTCCTTCCCATTTAGGTCCCCTCCAAGTAAAAAACGGACCCACTGGATCTAAATCAATCAAAACATTCCTATGAATCCAATCACGAAACGCATTACATCTGTTAATATTAGCCCCCATGCCTCCGCTTTGCTCACTTAGAGAGGCAATATCATTAAAATCACCCCCTATGAGCCAAGGACCTTTCTCCTCCTGTGCAATCACATTCCATTTATCCCATAATTCATTTCTCCTTACTCCCTGCGGGTTTGCATAGACTATGGTGCAGAAGCACACTAACGAGTTGCTTCTGTCAATTCTGACATGTGAGAATTCCTCACACTCCCAAAGAACTTCAACACTGAGGTTCTCCTCCTTCCAACAAAGCCAGATTCCACCAGTATACCCCCTTGCTTCCACTCTCACAGAGAAATTAAACCCCATTCTCTTCACAATATCTTTTACTTTGTTTCCACTCACCCTAGTTTCAACCAAAGCAAACAAATCCGGCTTATGTAATCTATTAATTTCTTTCACTGCTGCTATACTCTTATTACTTGCAGCTCCACGACAATTCCAAATTATCAACTTAATCATAATTATAAAGAAAGAGCATTACATCAACAGGATTTAATCCACCATGGATTCACCATCAATCACGTCAACAAAATTATCTACTTCAGGTATTGTATTACTTACCTGCTCTCTCTGAGGCCCTCTGTCCACCTCGCTTGTGAGGAGACTTTCCTCTCCTGTAACCATCACCTGATCATCTCCATCTCGCATTGTAACTTGCTTCTCTTCCCTTTTCCATGGCTCATTATAGGGAACCATAGTCCCACTCTGATTCCTTTTAATGATTAACATATTTTTTCCATTTTCAATTCTGCTCTCTTTTTCATTTTCCACATTCGTTGCTCTGAAAATGATTCCTTCATTCCCTTTCTGTTGTGATTTATCTGTATTTCTTCGATGAGTCTCCTTACTCCTTCCACTTCTTGCATCCACTCTACTTCCATTAGTTATATCTTGCATTGGTGCCACCCCCTGTTCATTCTCCTCTTCCCTCTCGGTCTGCCTCTCAAGCACTGAGAAACGTGACGTCCCTGCAACACTCCCCACTTGGTTCTGCACCCTTCTCTACCCCTCCTACTTCTCTGTACCACTTTCCAGGGACCTTCCACCTCCATATCCTCCCTAGTATTTTGACTCTCATATCCGTCTTTTTTATCTGCCCTTTTACCTTCTTTGCAGTGATCTTTTACGTGCCCAAAACGGCCACAGCACAAGCACAAGAGTCCCATGCTTTCATACTCTATTTGCTTTGTCACTCCATCAATTGTATACTGGGGGATCAACGGCTGTTTTAGGTCAACTTCTACGCATATTCGAGCATACATTCCTCTTGCTCTTGTAGCCGTGCTTGTATCTACCCTCAACACCTTACCAATGGCACTTCCGACATTCCACAGAATCTTCTTATCGAAATACTTAAACGATAATCCCGGCAGTCTCACCCAAACAGCAATCTTAGTTATCTCTTCCACCAATGGTTCAAAATCAGACCTCCATCTCATCACACTCAGATAAGAATCAAATATAGTCCATGGTCCGCCGGTTAAGGCGTTCATGTAGTCATCAACATCCTGAAAGCCAACCATATAGTAATCATTCTCAACATCTGATACTTTCACCTTCCCCCTTTTCCCCCATAGACGCAGCAGGTTTCTCTTCATGGCTGCCAGTGTCGTTGTCTTCCCCACCAGTTTAACAACCAAAGTTTGCGAGAAAATCTCTCCTATCCTCCGATTCTCTTCAACCGACACTACTATATTCGACTTCTGCGGATTTGCTCTATCTATCCAGATGCCCTCGTTCAAATCTTCTAAGGCATCAAACCCAGTATCAACGGACTCCTCATCCTCCATTCCGAATAACCCTGCTCTCGACGTCGCACCACCTTCTTTCACAGAATCACGGTAAGAGCGTTTCCCCCCTTCCTCTCGGCTTTCCTGTTCCTTTCCGATTAGTCTAGAAATTCTTCCTCGTTGAATGCTATCCCCGCTTTCCTCACCTTCTTCCTACTCCTCTCCAACGCATCCCTCTCCTCCGCCGTTGCCTCCGCCATCAACTGCGGCGGCCCTCCACAAGTCGTCGTCAGCATACCTTTAGAAAACCCAGCTTTTCTTTCTTTAAATTTTGTATTTTGGACTGCATTTTTTTTTTTAGTTTTCTATTAACTTATGTTTCGAGTGAATGTGGATTATTTCAAGTTATCTAGATCTCGTAGTATTTGGTCTCAAGATCTTACTTTGATGACTTCTGGAATACTACTGGTGACGCATTATGAGACACAATACTTTTTTTTTGTCTACTCAGTTTACCGGAGTTTTGCTCCGATTACGTTTGGATCCAACCCGCGTCGCGCACCTGGTTGTAGTAGGTGAGTCTCCCAACGGAAATTTCTGCATACACTGAGACTCGAACTTGAAACTTCACTTAAATAATACCAAGTTGTTTACCACTTGGAGTAACTCTCATTGGTTTATGAGACACGATACTAGTTATTGTTTTGGAGATTCTTTCCCACTTCTTGCATCTTAAGAGGGATATTTGGACCCTTCGTGGTCTTCTGAGGTGGTTTGTGTCAGCTCTTCCATCCATTCCGCCCACGGGGGCAGGGGCCCAAAAACCACTTTTCACAGTCTAGTCTTTCAACGCATCAGGCATGATAGCTTCAAGAGCGTGCTTAAAGAGTAATTTAGATAATACTACCTCCGGTCTTATTTATAAAACTTTATTTATAGATTACAAATAAAATCTTATAATTAGAACCGAAAATAATACTTACATCTAGCTTCTTATAAATATTATATCAAGTTTTTCAGTCGTATATGAAAATGTATCCTATTTCTTCTATGTAAGTTTAAAGATAAATGATGATATGAAAAAAAAAAAAAAACCAGAACACATGACAAAATGGATTTTAAAAAAGTAGTTAAATATTTCTTATATTGACATAAACTTATTCACGCAACTATAAAGTATTTATAATTGTATTTTCAAAAATTTGATATATTTACATTGGATATATATTTTGCCCCCACAAATTATTATGTCTAGGCCTGCCACAGAATGCATATCTGATCCGATCACCGGATTAGACTAACTTTCGATCAGCAAACCGAGACAAAATACCAGTATTTCAAACTATGTTCTCTATCCCCCCCAGCTCTTCTTCCCTTTTTTTGGGTTTTTTTTTGGGGGGGGGGGTTGTACAACATAACAGCACAATAATAAATCTTATTTCATTAGGTGGGGTTAATTATATGGAAAATTTTATTTATAGCTTCACAAAAATAAAGTTCCTTATATCATGATACCTTGGCTTGAGAGAATATGTACAACATATCTGGGTCGGTTTCTGGATGAAAATAACCATTGTACAGAAGCGAGCTAAAAGCTCCAAAACAATCAACTATAAAACATGGAGCACTTACAATCTATTTATCTTTCCCGTATTCAGCCGTTGAAGGTTTCTTTCCACCCTGCCATCCAGTCATCTCCTTTGCCTCTTTCTTGGAAGTCTCCATCCCCTCCTCAATAGGAAGGGTTCTCTTTGATCCCTCCAATGCAACACCAAGGACTATATTTCTTCAACATCAGGCCTGGATGTAGGAGGCTGTTCAGCTGGTTTCCTTTCGCCTTGTTGTTTTGATGGTT